GACCAGAAGCTGCTCCCTTCTCGGGTGGCTGGGAGATCGCAGACTCACAGAATGGTTTCAGTTGGAAGGGACCTTAAAGACCATCCTGTTCCTATCTCCCTGCCAATGGGCAGGGACACCTTCCAGTAGACCAGGTTGCTCCAAGCCCCATCCAACCTGGCCTTGAACACTTCCAGGGATGGGGCAGCCACAGCTTCTCTGGGCAGCCTGAGCCTGGGCCTCACCACTCTCACAGGGAAGAACTTCTTCCCGATATCCCACCTAACCCTGTCCCCTGTCAGTTGGAAGTCATTCCCCCTTGTCCTTCCATCCCTTGTCCCAAGTCCCTCTCCAGCTCTCTTGGAGCCCTTTTAGGCACTTGAAGGGGCTCTAAGGTCTCTCTGGAGTGGTTTTTTTCTCCAGGTGAACACCCCCAGCTCTGTCAGCCTGGCTCCAGAGCAGAGGGGCTCCAGCTCTCTGAGCATCTCCCTGGACTCTCTCCAGCAGCTCCATGTCATTTCTGTGCTGGGCCCCCAGAGCTGGAGGCAGCACTGCAGGTGGGGTCTCACCTGAGCAGAGCAGAGGGGCAGAATCCCACGCTCACCTGCTGCCCACAGTGTGGAATGAGCCCAGGACATGACTCGTTTCTGGGTACCAGCACATATGGCCAAGTCACATCCGATTTGTCACCCACCAGGACTCCCAAGTCCCTCTCCCCAGGGCTGCTCTCAACCCACCCAGCCCTCAGCCTGTGCTGATGCTGGGGGTTGCCCTGACCCAGATACAGGACCTTGCACTTGGCCTGGTTGAACTGCATGAGGTTCACATGAGCTCGCTCCTTCTGCCTGCCCAGGTCCCTCAGGATGCCTCATCCCTTCCTTCTGCTCAATCAACTGCACCACACGGTTTGGTGTCATCCACAAACGTGCTGAGAGTTTCTGAGATCAGAACCTCATCCTGCCTCTTTAACCCAAGTTTTTCAGAGCAGACAGGATAAAGTGAGGGGGAGGATTAACTCTCATTTTGGCCCTTGCCTGCCAGGATCTCACTCCTGCCTCCACCCTGCAGGTTTGATCTTGAGGGCTCTGTCAGGAGCCCTCCACAGCTCCCTGGGCACCACCATGGGGCTGACTCTGCCACTGTAGCCCACCCATGTTCCACGGTACAGCATGGACCCCCTTGCACCAGTGAGGGGTTCAAGGCCACCCCACGCTCCCTAGCTCAGGTAGGGTGATAGCTGGTGGCTTACTTGAATTCTTTGGGGAATGATCCTTTAAAATGATCAAGTTTTGCTCTTGGGGCAGTTTTTAACTCTTCCTGCTTCCCCCAGAGCTGTCACAGCTGCCCATGAGCCCCTGTTCTCTGCCTGCAGCCCCCTGCCCTTTGCATAACCCTCCGTAGTGCCGTGGGATTCCTCTGGAGCAGGACAACCCCTGCTGACCCAGGACAGCCCCTGCTGACCCCTTATCACAGCGCTGACTGGGAGTGATGGGAGCGTTGTCCCAGGCTCTTTAATTATTGAGAGAAGGAAAATGAAGTTAAATTTGGGAGAGAAGACAATTGAAAATAATAGTGTCTGCTGTGTCTTCAGAAAAGGCAGGTTACCTCTGGGTTGGGGTGGGTACCTGGGAAGTCCAGACACCTTAGCTCCTGACTGGCCCATTGCCTGCACCCTCTGATTTTTTGGGGACCAGCCTTTAAGCAGCAAATGCTCTAAGGTGTTCCTGAGGGGGCAGAGAGGGAACAACCTTTTTACTGTCCAGTTAAAGCTGTTGTCATGTTTTAATGAAAGAAAACTGAAAGGTTTTGACTGTGTCATTGGTCATTTGGCTTTGAGCTTGCTGGAGGATGAGCCAAGCCCACAGAGCGAAGGGAGCACTCTGGTGGTGCCAAGCCTGGCAACAAGACATGCCAGACTGGCTTTGCTGAGGCAACAGGGAGAATCCTTGCCTGGCTCAGCCCCAGGCCTGTGGTAGCTGCTTGGGTGCTTTTCTGGGTGACCTTTCCCTGGAAGCCAAACTGGGGCTGCTGCCCTCCCCTGTCGCCATGTGCCAGCTCTTGTCCCCAGCTCTGCTGTTGGGTGACATCCACATCTAGGCAGGGGGAAAGACTAAAAATTGCATGAGGCAGGCCAAGAGCATTGACAGTGTCCTCCCAGCATGGAGGGCTTGGGGTACAGCACAAGGGACCCTGCTGTCCCCAGCCCCAGTGTGTCACCCTGAGGACCTGCCTCATGACACTGGGTCAGCTTTGGCTCGGCAGTTCTGCCAGCCTGGGAATGCCCCAGCTCAATAAGCATAGGAACCCCCTCCTGGCCTCACACTGGGCCAGAGCCTTGGGGGACTGGAGCCCCCTGTGGCCTCTGTGCCTGCCACAAGCTGCCCTGTTCCCTCCTGCCTGGGGAGCTGGGGAGGAGAAAACAGCAGGAGGCCCTGAGACATCACCAGCGGGTACCTGGGAGCTGTGGGGTTTCTACCACTCTTTGATATTTAATAAACTTCTTAAATAAATAACATTAATATAATATTAAAAGCTATTTACTGAATAGGCAAGTGCTCAGGCAGATGCCAGGTTTCTAGGCAGAGCTGACATGTGATGAAGCTGTGGCTGTGTGCCACAGCCCTCAGGGCCAACCCTGGTGCCCTTTGCCAGCCTGGCCCAGAGGAGGATGGGTGCACATGGACATCCCGTGGGAGGGGAATCCCATTCCCTCAGTGTGGAGCACACGAGGGAGCCCAATGGGCCGGGTTCGCTCAGTGCCCAGCTGGGTGTCAGCCCCTCTTCCCGTTGTTTCCCTAACTTACACTATTACGCTTTAATGATGTGGTAAAGGGAGTGTCTGGATAACTCAATCATGAGCACTGGAGGATAACAAAATAGCTGAGGCCTTGCCACAGTCATGGCTGTGATGGGGGCTGGGAGGTGAGGGCTCAGGCTGCAGTCAGAGAAACAACTCTTGTCATGTCTCAGTGCCCAAAACCTCCCTGCTCAGTGCCTTCAGGGGAAGCCAGGGACCCTCTAAGGACACAGAGTAGGGAGTCCTCCCTGACCTCTGATTCATCCTGGTGAGACGTTCCATGAGCCTCAGCCAAGCCATCCCAGAGGGACTGGGAAGCTGGGCCGGACCCCCGAGCGCTGGGATTTGGAGCTGGGTACAGCTGTAGCCCATGGTCTGCCCTGTGCCTCTGGGGCAGCCGAGTCACCTGGGGCTTGCAAGCTGCTCAAGGGGACATGCTGCCCTGGCCATGCCAGGGAGGGAGAGCTGTATACTTCAGGGCTGCTCCATCACTCCCTTCTGCACCTGGGGGTGGCAGAGAGCAGAGCCCATGATGCCCAGGGGATCCCATCCAGGGGTAAGGCTCCCTTGATTTCTCATTTTCTGCCTTGTGGAGCAGATGTTGTACCTACCAAACCACCTGAGAGACAGCAAAAGGCACAGCCATCCCACAGGGATGAATGATGCCTGAGCCCCAGAACTTCAGAGAGTGCCCAGGCCAACCACCTTCCCAGGATGCTGGGGCTGGAGAAGCCACTTCGCTGGGAGGCAGGTCTGAGCTAAAACTTGAGCTACTGGAGGACTGGAATGTGTATGGACACATTGTGCCTCCCTGCACCCTTCCTTTTCCACACTGCCTAGAGCAGGTAGGGCTTCACCAGGGTGGAGGAACACTCACAGGCTCCATGGCCCCTTGGTCGACAGAGCCATGAACTGGGGATTTACCCTCTGAATGCACCCATGTCAGTGTGCCAAGCATGGCAGCACCCCACTCGCTCCTCTCCCTTCATGGAGCTCCTGATGGCATTTTAATGCCCTTTAATGTCTCTGGACCAAAAGGTATTTTGTCCACACAAATAACAGTCTGCACCTTGTGGCTGCTGTCCCTGTGCCTTGCCAGAAGCTTGGCAGTCATTAATGAAGTTAGTGAGTGCTGACCTCTGCCCCCACCAAGGGAGATGTGCTTCCCCAGGGGTAAAACAACGATGAGCATAGATGGGGCAGAGACTCACCAAGGGCTGGGATGACAGGCTGGACATGAGCCAACAGTGTGTGCTGTCAGCCCAGAGTGCCAACAGCATCCTGGGCTCATCCCACAGCGTGGGCAGCAGGTGAGAGGGGGATTCTGCCCCTCTGCTCTGCTCAGGTGAGACTCCACCTGCAGTGCTGCCTCCAGCTCTGGTGCACTAGAAGAATGTGGGGCTATTGGAGCAAGTCTGGAGGAGGCCATGGAGATGCTCTGAGGGCTGGAGCCTCTCTGCTCTGGAGCCAGGCTGAGAGAGCTGGGGGTGTTCACCCAGAGAAGAGAAGGCTCCAGGGAGACCTTGGAGCTCCTTCCAGTGCCTGAAGGGGCTCCAACGGAGTTGGAGAGGGACTTTGGGCAAGGGGCAATGGCTTCCAACTGACAGGGGGCAGGATTAGGTGGGATATTGGGAAGAAATTGTTCCCTGTGAGGGTGGTGAGGCCCTGGCAAGGGTTGCCCAGAGAAGCTGTGGCTGCCCCATCCCTGCAAGTGTTCAAGGTCAGGTTGGACAGGGCTTGGAGCAACCTGGTCTAGTGGAAGGTGTCCCTGCCCATAACAAAGGGGGTTGGAACAGAATGGTCTTTAAGGTCCCTTCCAATCCAAGCCATTCTGTGATTCTATGATAACGCTGTCCTCACTCTGCCTGCTGTGAGGGCCTTGGCATGTTCACCTGACTTGGGGACAGTGTTTGGCTCTGTCCCTGCCAGATCTGGTGGATGGATCCCCTGGGAGACCCCACCCATGAGGAAGGGGACATGATATGGGGCTCAATGCTGGTGGAGGCTCCAGAGCACAGGCACCCAGCCCTTCACTGCTGCTTTCAGACACCGTGCCTGATGCCCTTGGAGATGCCACTATCTGGGACAGCCCATGGCACAGATCAGTGCCAGAGCCACCTTTTTGCTGTCCCCTCAAGCCCGTCCAAGCTCCTGGGATACAGGAGGGCCATATTGCCAGCCAGTTCTAATCCATTATTCCTTTTTCTCTCCTTTTACAGGCCTTTGCACTGAAGCCAAGTGAAGAATCTCACAATTGCACTACACATCACTTAACTTTGATTCCTCTGGCAGCAAAGCGGCTCCGCCACCAACGAGACCTCGAGGGCTGTTTTTCCCCTCCCTGCACATCACTCCCATCTCCCTGCCTGGAAGCTGGTGCCCAGCAGAAGCTCTAACTCACTGTCCATCCCACTGGACCACTCCCCACCATGTTTCAGCGTCTCACCAGCCTCTTCTTCAGTGACAGCAATGCGCCAGAGGGCCTAGAGGAGCCCAAACCCTTTGTCGAGGAGGAAGAGGAAGAGGATGGCTGGCTCGTAATTGATCTTGCAGGTGAGGAAAGCAGCAGGACTGGCTTCCCACAGCCTCCGTTGAACTTTGTCTTTGCAGAGCAGGGCAAACCCCTTGAGATGTCAGCAGATGAGCTCACACCACATGGGATCAGCTCTGCCCTTCATCCTTTTTCCCCTGGTCCCCTTGCCCTGTCCATGGTGCCCAGCCCTGTGGTCACCGCAGCAGCCCCTGACCTGCTCCTCCTTTTTCCCAGTGATGATTCCCGACTTTCCACCAGTGTGGGAGCAGTGTCAGCATCCCTGGCCGGGGCTGCAGCTGCTCAGGATCCTCCAGGTGTCTCTGTGCCAGGATGGGACCCTGGCATGGCACCAGCCAGGGAGATTATCCAGAGTTTTGATGTGATCCTGCCCACCAGGGCTCAGTGGGGTGGAGAACCCAGCCCTTGCAGGCTCTGCCCACCGGCTGCAGCTGAGCTGTGCCCTGGCCAGCACTTTTCCAGGAGGAACCAGGCTCAGGTGCTCCCTGCTCTGCCTCTGCTGAAAGCAAAGCAGGAGCTGGTGGGACACCAGGGTTGTCCCCATGAGAGGATAGGTGGCAGAGCTGTCCCAGCTGGGGATATGCCACCAGTGATCTGGCTACGTTTGAGTCATCTGAGGGGAGCAAATCTCAGTTCCAAAGGGGTTATCTTCCCAACTCATTCCCAGTGCCCATGCCAAGCACAAGTGATGTTTGGCACCAGGTCCCTGTACCTAGAGAACCCACAGGGCTCCCCCTTCCCAGGGATGGTGACAACCGTCCAGAGCCCTGTTTGACACCAACCAGATGAACTGAATTCCTCCTGTGCGGAGCTTCTCCAGCTCCACGCAGACCTTGGAGTTTCTGTTGTGGCATTAGCCAATTACAATGATATTTTTATGACCTTTTCATTCCAAATCCAGCAGTGACCATAGACAAACTTGCCTACCTGTGCAGGAGCTCCTGGTGCCCGTGCTCTGTTAGCTGTGGTGCCCCAGCCAAGGGGGTTTAGGAGGAGAGTTTTGTCCTCCCTCTCTCTTGCAGGCAGCAGTCCTCTGAGCAGATGTTCCCTGCCTGTCCCCACCATGCTTGTTTTTGTGATGGGAGTTGTTCATTAGAGTTCTCCCCCATATCCCCTGGAGAGGGGACCAGAGCAGGAACAAGCCTGGGATGGGGGACAGGGATCTCTGTGCCTCGTGGGAGGGAGCACTATGGAGAGCTGGTGGAGGTGATGGGTGGTGTGGGCATGGGCAGCTGTGCAGGGTTGCCTGTCCTCTGGGCTCTCAGCTGACTGTCTGGAGTGGGTCACAGCAGTGACATGGGAGGGGGCTGGTTGCAAGGACGTCCCTGGAGCAGCGGGTGTGCAGCTGCCAGGAGTCTGGGCCAGCTGGCAGCAGCTGCAGCGTGCCTAAAGCATGCCAGAAGGAGCCAGGAGTTTCCCCAGCCAGAGAAGCACTGGCCTGTGCCCTGATCCCTGGGTCCGAGACTACAGCTGGCTCCGAGGGGACCAAGGGTTGACTCTGGTACAAAACAGTCCCATTTTTTTCCCAGTGACGTGGCTGGGCTCTTGGTGCAGCGCTGGCTTCCAGCAACGTGTCTACTTGCGACGATCCCACTGCTAATTCCATTGCCTTCTGTTCCCACAGCAATCCCTGAGCAGTGAGGGACCAGATTCTTTCAGCCCTGTTTCTGAGGCTGGAGTTACGTGAAGCACTCTAAAAGCAAAATGTGGAGGCTCCAGCCCCATCCTTCCCTTTGGAGCCGTGGTGGCCAGCAGCAGTTCCCAGCCTGGCTCCCTCCCAGCAGTTTAGGGAGCCTCCAGATTTGGTCCCTCTCAGCCTGATCATTACCCCCAAATGCACCCAAATTACCCAGATCTTCCAGGAGCGTTTCCGATGCTCCTCTCACCCCCTTGCCCAGCCTGGCTCTGCTCAGGACCCAGAGAGGGAGCCAAGAGCATTTCCCAGGATATGGCTGGGAGTATATCCCCAGGGATTTGAGGATCCTGAAAAATTGCTTGTGACATTAAAACCCAGGTTGGCAAAGGATGGGAACAGGGAGCCCTGGAGAGGCTGCACTGAGCCCCCTGCCCCTGTGCCCACAGACCCCTGTTGTGGGAGTGCTGCTGGACTGGGGACGCTCCAGCTGGGCTCAATGGCTGTCTCCAGGCAGACAAATAATCTACAGCCCATCATGTCAACAACTATTAATAGCCTGATATCCACTGACCTGGAGAAAGACACTCTCATGTTTGCAAGGCCAGTTGTGACCTGTCCTGAGCCCTGGGCTGGGGCATCAGCTAAGGGAGGAGCTGGAGATGCACAGAGCTGGGAATACCATGCTCATGTTCATGCACTGCATTTCTCCACGCAAGAACACATTCACCTTTGATTCCTCATGCTCCCTCACCCAGTCACAGAGTCACATGCATCCATATAGATATTGCACTGCCTCCCCCCTCACTGACACCAGTTCCCTCAAATCCCCCTGTGATGAGTCTGGGAATGGGTTCACCTAACCTTAGGTGCAGGCTCCCCTCCCATTACACCACCAGTAATTCCAAGCACAAGCAGCCCAGGAAAGCAGCAGCCCAAGTGCTTTTGCCAGGTAGAGATGAGGAAGGGAAAGCATGGAAGGCTGGCCATTGGAGGGGTGGGGGGGTCAGCTCCCGTATCAGGCACTCGAAATTTGGCCTCTAAGGGACTGAAGCTGAAGGCACAGCGAAAACCTTTGCTGAAGAATTTATTCCTGTGATTTCTTCCAGAGAAAAGGTGTGGACTGTTTTTCCCCTCTGTGTGTGCTTGGTTTCCATGTTTGCAAAGTGCTGGGTGGTGTTTGTGGGCGCAGGCACGCTGGCGTTCCTCTGGAGCGGCACGGCACGGCACGGCACGGCTCAGGTGCCATCCGAAAAGGCAAAAGCAGCGTTTCTTGCTGCCTGAACTTTCTTCCTTTTGAGAAGGAAAAAACCCCATTGCTGCAGTAAACCCTGCTGGTTCCCCCACTTTTTGGTTCGACTTGCCTAACCAGGCTCCTTTCCATGCTGAAGCCGGGTCCCTCGGCAGCGGTGGGTGCTGGTTGGGGCGGGGGCACGGCCGACGTGTCCCTCCCGCGGGGCCGCGCCCGTCTCTGCGGTGGCAGGTGGCGGTGGGGTGTCTCTTGCACTAACGATGCCCCTTTCTCCCCCCTCCCCTCCCCCACTGTACATGGTATGTGTGTGTGTCCCCCGCTCGCCCCGCATGGCTCTGCCCCCGCCCCCCGGCAGCCCGTGCCCGCCCCGGCCCAGCCCGGCGAGGGGTGCTGGCGGTACCGGGCGCTCGGCGCGGCCCCGCCCGACGCCCCCGGTCCGCCACCGCCACCAGCCGCTTCCCTGGCTCCGGCCGGTCCCTGCTTGATGGACGAGAGTTGGTTTGTCACCCCTCCCCCCTGTTTTACTGCAGAGGAGCCCGGCCCTGACGGCGTGGGGAGCAGCCCCATGGAGGACCTGCTCATCGAGCACCCCAGCATGTCCGTCTACGTCACCAGCACCCTCGAGGTGGATGGGGAGGGCCTCGAGGACGATGCTGCCGGGTGAGTGCACTTTGAGGGTGTTTGTTAGGGACTGGCAGCCCCAGCACCTGCTGAGGGACCGGGGTCAGCCCTGGCATCCCAAATCCCCTCGTACACCCGAGAGCGTGTCCCATGGACAGAGTGGAGCGGTGGGGGACATCAGTGTCCCCATGCCCCATCTCAAGGGAGTACTCTGCACATCTGGCCAGATGCCGTGCAAGGCTGGCAGCCCCTGTGTCCCAAAATCCTCTGCTGAGGAGGTCTCAGCAGCGTGTTTGGACAGCCATGGGTGCAGGACTGTGAGCTTGGCACTGGGCTGTGGCAGGAGAGGGGTGTGTCCCCTGCCCCAAGCAGGGTCTCTTGGTGTGGCTGATGCCACTCATGCTGATGCCACCTGTGCTAATACCGCCTGTCACCGCATCACCAGCCTAGGGGGTTGCCAGGCTGGGCTTACACCATTGTTTTCCATAGGTATGGCCCAAGCAAAGCAAACCCAATAGGACAGGGTGGCCTTTGGGCACAGTGGTCCCCCTGGGTCCCCCAGGCAGGGAGGTGCTGAAGCCCCCCTCGATCCCGCTTCTGACCCCATGCTGGTCCAGCACAGGGGTATCCCACAGCTGTGTGGGAGTGGGACACCACCAGCTTCTTGCCCCAAGCTACAGCTTAGCACAGGAGGAAAATAAACAGAAATGCCCCAAATGGCCCTGCTGCCTGCTGATCCCCAAGGCTTGTGGGCTGGAGTCCTCCCCACGCATTCCTGGGACCACAGCCTGGAGCTCTGTCCTTCCCCAGGGCTGCCTCCAGTACGCAGGGAAAACCTGAACTGTGCGTGTGCTCAGCCCTGCCACTGCTGGCTGAGCCCCGGCTCCCACCGTGCCATGGGGTCCCTGCTGCCCCCCAGTCCCAGCCCTCCAGCATCTCCCCTAAGAGCCCCTCACTGGGACAGGGGAGGAGTAAGAATTCAGGGTAAACTTCACCCTGGGCTAGGGGACACCATTCCTGTCAGGGGACACTGTTCCTGGCTAGGGGACATCATTCATAGTTAGGGGATGCCGTTCTTGGCTAGGGAACACCATTCTTGATTAGGGGACACTGCTCCTGGCTAAGTGACACCATTCCTCCAGGACTTCTCTTTCCAAAGTCTCCCTGAGAGCCACAGCTTGATCTCCAGAGCTTTAGAGGTTCTTCAGTGATGGAGGGGGCAGAGAATGGCCAAAGGGAACTCAAGACTAGCCAGGGGACAAAAGGGGTCACAGTGGAATGAAGACAGACCAGGCTCAAGGGACTTAGCTACGGTAAGGGGCTGTGGGAACACCCCATTCCTGGTGGTGTCTGGATATGTCCAGGTGTCCCAGAGCCTGCCTGTGCTGGAGCATCCCTGCCCTCGGGAGACTGTTGGGGCAGGAGGTGCCCGGCCCATCCCAGGGCACAGTGTGTGGGGAGGGGGTTGGTGCCCTCGGTGCCCTTCTTGGTGGGGAGGGTGAGGGCGATGCCATCGCCGCTGACGGCCCCTCTCTCTGCAGGGAGGTGCCGGAGCCGCGGCTGGAGCGGCACGTGGCGCACCCCGGCCGGTCCCTGGCGGTGAAGGCGGCCATCCTGGACAAGGTGGGGCAGGCCAGCGGGTGCAGCGGGCCAAGCAGCTGGCGGAGCGGCACCGGCTGGGCCAGAAGGCGCTGCAGCGGCAGAACCGCGCCGGCAGCGCCCGCCCCGCGCGCCAAGCAGCTCCCTGGGGCCTTCGTGCACCAGCCTGCCAGCGCCACTGCAACTACTGACCTCGCCGGGACGGCTGCGCTGCGCGCCCCGCGAGGGGCCCTCACCCCCTGACACTGGCCCCCGGGAGTGCCGGCCCCACGGACACCGGCGACACCGGCTGCGGTTCCACTCCACGCCCCCCGCTCCCACACGCCTGGCCCACACTCCTCATCTTCCTCCACCCGCCCTCACTGCTCCCCTCACCCCTCGCCCTCGATGCCAGCTGGGCCAGCAACCTCTGGAGCTGCCGGCATGGAGGGCCATGCTGACCCCCCCACCCTCACAGCCTCGCCAGCCTTCACACAGGAAATCGGTATTCCCTGGGAAATCACCTGTTCCCGAAATCCATGGCGAAGCCTGTTTGTCCTGACAAGCCTGTGACAACAGTGCCTTTCCTCACCACATCATGACTCCACGTACAGCCAGGCTGGGATGTCACAGAGACACCGAGCAAAGGTGAAAAGAGAAACAAAGCCACGAGATCTGGGATTTTTAGGAAAATCTCGTCAATGACACTAAGTAATGCTTCCGTCCTGCACAACCAGCAAATACTCCCCTCCCTCCTTGACTTCTTAGTTACGTTTTTACCATGATAAACCCCCACTGCAGGTCCTGAAGGGGCTCGTGGTGGGAAGCACTGGTGGAACCATTGTGGCCGGGCCAGCCAGGTGGCTCCTGATGCGTCACGGTGTTTTTTTTAAATCAACCTTAAAAGCAATCTCAGGAATCAAAGCACCATCCCAGCACCGTGCCGGAGCCCTTGGCCACTGTGCTGGGAGGGGTGGCCAGCCCAGGGCAGTGGTGGCATCACCGTGGCTGGTGGCCCCACCCGAGCGAGCCCCTTCCTCCTGGAGCCACTCGCCTGCCCCAGCCACACATCTTTCCCTACAGATGCGCCTGTATATGTTTGTGTATATATTTCCCTCCATACCTTTATACTTGGAAGAGGCACTGTTAAGCCAAGGAGCATCGGCTGCCTGGTGTCAATCCCTGGGAGGGGAGCAGAGGCAGGGATCTGCACAGCTTCCCTGAGGTGGCAAAAGCATGTCGATGGTGGTGGTGAAGAGATGCTGAAGAAGAGGCCGGAGGGAAGAGGCCGAAGTAAGGACAAAGATGGGTCTAGGAGTGGCTGCAAAGGGTCAGGATGGGGCAGGCCTGAGTGAGAGGATTGCTGTAACAGGAGCTGTAACAGCTGCATCTTCTTTCCCCATCCCTGCTAAAAATTGCATCCTTTCCCATGAAGGGCCAAATCCCATTGTAGAAAACATTGATTTTTAATGCAAATCCCTCCCCTCCCTGTGACAGATTCATTCTGCCTTTGGAAGAACATGGTCTAGACTTTTCACTGGCTCCAGCACCAGCTGAGATGGCTCTAAACCCAGCAGAAATGTGCTGATCGCCCCCAGCTCCCTCCCTTTAGGGACAGGTTTTGCACCTTGTGCCCTGGGAAAGCATCTGGCTCGTGGCCAGCTCACAGCCTGAATTCCTACCCTCTGAAAAAAGAAAAACCCTTACAACCCTCCCAAAAATTCTGATTTCACAGGAGTTTCTTCCATTCACCATGTTACATCCCTTAATATTAGCCGGGGACCTCGGCTGAAGGAATTGTGGTGAGCCCAACTTCAGACAGCTGGTAGTTATTAATTCTTTTAAAGAGATTAAAAACAAACTGGTCCAGGCTCTGGGTTGGGCAGCCTGGCCCGCAGGAGCCGGATGCTGCTGCTCACCTGCAGCGTTTCTCCTCCACTCCGATGACGTAGCGTTCCCAAAAGCACAGAGCTGGGGAAGTCGATGTTACCCCCTGCCCTCGGCATTGTCCCACACTCCTTGGGCCTCCTGGCAACCTCTGTCCCTTGCTGAGCCTGAGACCACACTGGAGATCACCAAGAAGATACTAGAGGCAGGACAGGGCGAAGACACTGACTGGAGGGGAACGTTTACCCCCTTTGGCTTCCTGGGCTTCACACTAAATGCCTTTTCTTCCCCCTGAAGTGATGCCTGGTGTGAACCAGGAGCATGGCATGTGCAGAGACTCTGGCAAAGGTGCTTGTGATGACAAGCAGGGGCTGAGCCCAAGCTCCCGGATGTCCGATGAGGTGCTGCCTTCCCTATCCCGCTCTTCCCATGTTGCTGGATGATCTGCTCTGTGGCCACCAGGCAGAACCATTAGAGGAATCATTTTCTCTCCAGCCCAAAAACACATCAAGAAGTGGAGAAGCCACACAGCATCCTGACCCCCAGCCTGTTCTCCACTACAAATTCTCCTCCTGCACATCCAAGTTGCTGCCAGTCCCTCCAGAGCACTCCAGAAATCAGAGGCTGGTTGCAACCCCATTACCCTCCACAGCTCCCAGAGGAACAGGCAGCAGTGAGCTCAGGGCAGATCCTGCCCTGTCTCACCTACCAGGCTTTCCTGTGCCCACTGGTCTGCATGGAAATGGTACCCCAGGAGAAATCCCTCATTGAAATCCTCCTCTGTGTCCTGCTCATCTGTTGTGAACGAGAACCTCTTGGCCATGTTCCTGGGGAGCTTGGGGAAGCCATGGCACTGACACTGACACCCAGCCCCCAGCTCCCAGCCTCCCAGGCACCCATTTCCAACAGGTGATGCTGGTTTTCAGAAGCAAATGCAAACTGTTCTTTTCCTTTCTTCTTTCCATGCCAGTCTGAGGTGTCTTTCCTCATGCTGTGCCCAGCAAGCCCAGGACATGAAGCAGAACTATTATCACACTTTATATCCAGAGTATGTTTATAAAGGATTAATAAATTATTAATGTTTTCATGAAGAGGTTAAACCAGAGTCCAAGCAGGTTAGCAGAGTGCATGTACCACAGCAAACCTCTGCTCCTGCGGCCCCCCTCTGTTGTTTGCACACTTGTTGTGTATTAACACCTAACACTCACCTGCCAACCCCCTGCAAGGCGACTGTCACCCCCTAGTGTGACCCACCCTCCCTGTGCTGTGGCAAAAGGGTGTTCAACCTGTGCTCCTGCCCAGCAGTAAGACCTCCTGCCCACTGTTGCCAGAACAAGAAAATTCCTTTTCATTGAGGTTATTTGTCTCCTCGAATCTTAAAACAAATGAAAGGTGCTTAAAAACTGAGAACTTTGGTGTGTGCACCTGTGTGCATGTGTAGATACTTCACAGCCTGGTGTGAGTGTTCAGTAGGTGGGGTTGAGTTTTTTAGGGGTTTATTGGTTGGGGTTTTTTTTGCACCCAGTGTTGTGATGAGTTGGGTGGTGTTCCTGATGGGAAGGTGCTCACAGGGAGCCCTTGGGCTGGTCCTGCTGGGACAACTGGGATGATTTTGCTTTCTTTTCTTTACTTTTGTAGGGGGAAACTACAGCATGGACTCAGGGACAAACCAATCTGCTGGAGTCTTTAAAAATGTCTTTTTTCCAGGCTTCTCTGCTAGGATGTGGGGTTTGGTTTGGTCTGTCAGGGATGCTGCAGGGATGGGGCCTGTAGCAGAACATGGTGGTGAGAGGCTGCCCAGGCTGTGTTGGAGGAGCTGCAGGGTTTGGTGCTCTGACATTCCGGTGTGGAAAAGAAGCTGTGGCCCCTCATGGTGGGGCCATTCCTGGGCAGCAGCCCCTCTTTGTTTGTTCATGTCCTGAGAATTCACCTTATAGTTGCTAGAATGTGGCTTGTCCCTTTTTGGACTTTTCTGTGAACAACCAGGTACAGATTTTCAGCACTGAGCCTCCAAGGATTTGGGAAGTGCAGCAGAGCTGGACGTTCTGGCCTGACTCCTACGACATCACTGGGATCAGGAGACAGCCAGGATGGGGGAAGCCATTGGAGCAATCACCTGGAAAAATGGTGATGTAGGTGACAGGTGGATTTGAGGGAAGAAATTTTTGTATTTCTTGCACTGAAAGCATAAAAAAAGGAAGAATTCCTGGTGGAGAGGCCTGGGCAAATCCCTGTTCAGTAAATGCCAGCTTTTCTGGGCAGCATGGCAGTGCTGGGGTTCAGACAGGTGAGATGGGTCCAGCCACAGCAGCAGCTTTGCAGCCCTGTCCTGGAATTGCAGTGCGGAACGGGCACGGACGGGCAGCTGGGAGGGCAGTGCTGTCAGTGCTGGCTGGAGCTTGTGGAGGCAGCACACCCTCTACAGTGGGAAGGATCTTTCCACCACCATTGAAGCCCCCATGGTGTAGGAATCTTCTCCAAGCAAGATTTGCATCTCAGTTGAGTTGTTTTGGTCCGGCTGCCCTGGTACTCGTGCGATGGATGAACCCGATGTGTGGCGAGGCTCCCCCAGCCAGCAGGACGGGAGCGGGAAGGGTGGCCCTCCTGCAGAAGTGCTGGCTCTTGGGATGTGTCAGGACACCCCCGTGCCACCCCCTTCCCATAGCTGTGCTTCCTGCACCGGTCAATGCCAGGCTGGAGGCCACGGCACATGCAGGACACTCGCTGGCAGCCACAACAAAGTCCTCACCCTGGATTTTGGCTGTTGCTTGTGCTACAAGGCCGGGGGGGGCTGCTAAGGGAGTAGCGGCAGAAGCCTTCCTCACCTGTGTGAGTGCTGCAATCTGCACTCACAAATCTGCTTTCCAAAAACCTCTGCTGCAAAAGCTTCATCTGGGAGGAAAACAGTTCTTTTCATGGGAGTCGGCATTTCTTTCTCATCATGGATAACATAAATGCATGGCTCATCCCAAAGACCGCTGTGGGAATTTTCTCTCTTTAGGCATGTTTCTAATCAATAATTTTACATCATACCAATACCTTTTCCTCTTCCATCCAACCCCAGGGGGGAGAAAAATACCCACTTAGATGTCTTATCATACCAGTCAGAACAAAAAAAAATTGAAAAAATCCTACAGTGAGGTTATAAGCTTGACTCCCACAGCTTTGCAGTCACTCCTGTGGAGGACCAGTATAAATTCCAGTGCTCTGCATAAAGTGGAAAGTAAATGTCATGTGAATTTACTGAAAAACAATTGAGTCCCCAGAGATTACACATCTAATAATTAGGAAACGGACAGTAAGAAGTGATAGGTCACCTCAAGTC